CCCGAGGGCGCGGGAGCGGTGGGGGGGGGGGGGGGGGGGGGAGGAGGAGGAGGAGGAGGAGGAGCAGAGGAACAGAAGTCTCACGCTGCCGTGACTCCAGCTGCAGTCTACGTTTCTCCGGTAGACGTTGACGATCTATCGCCACCTTCCTGCGCTCCACCATCCATCCCATCCAGTCCTCCAGCTCAGGTCACCCTCCAGAGGGAAGCCCAGTTGGGAATGATGCCCCCTGGTGGTCCTGTGACGAGCCAGCCCACCTCCTCAGTCCAACCAGACAGTAAGTCCTCCAGCCTTCCTCAGGCCAGTGCTGAGCAACCAATCACCATGGTCTTCCTTGGCTACCAGGACGTTGAGGACACGAGCGAGAGCAGGCGGCTGCTGGGGTTTGACGGGGCCGTCAAGGCCGAGGTAGTTCTCATCGATGAAGACGATGAGAAGTCTCTGAGGGAGAAGACGGTCACCGACATGTCCATCGTCGACGGCACGGCAGCCGACCTGGTGTCGGGACGGCCGGGGACTTCCGAAGCCGCCAGCACCGAACTGTCGTCCGATGCTGCTTCTTCGCCACCTGCAAACGCTGATGCAAACACGGCGCCCCCAGCAGGCCTCACCCCCGCCACAGGTACAGACAAGAGGAAACGCTGCGAGTGCTGCCTCCTCATGTGACTGAATCTTCAAACACTTTTATTAATCTTATTATTATCACTACCCACAATGCCCCTCTTCACCCCTGTCTTTGGATGGTTACTAACAGAAGCCCAACCTTTCTTCTGCTCCTCCTGTCTTCTGGACTCTGATTGGCTGCCACCTACTCACACTCACGTACTCACAAACCGCTCCATCTCTGCTCTATCATGACCCACTTTGCCAACAGCGCCACCTTCTGGCCTTCTCTCTCCATTTCTCAAAACAGAAATATATTCAAATAAATAAATATATTAATAACAGAATGCAGGAAGAATCCTGTTCTCAAGCTGCCATATTTACCTGAAGACCAGTCTTTAGACCTCCTCTCAGTGGTCAGTGACACTTGTGGCCATGGGGGGTCGCCAAACCCAAAGGACAATCAAACAAATCAGCAACTTTTAATAAGCAGTTTATAGAACACCACCAGAGCAGGAGACGTTTACCAACTCCACTTCCTTCTTAGTTCCTCACGTCCTCGTGACTCCCTCACTCCTTCCTCGTCCACTCTGTTCAGCCAGGACAGAGTGGAGGGAACTGGTTGCCTTGGTTTCTTTATGTGCCTCTTCATCGTTTGTCCAAAACTGACGGTCGAATGTTGGAGACACGATAGTTAGAAGATATTTTTAGACTTTCATTTCTGTTTGCGACTGTAAAGACAGACGTTTTCTTTTTCTTTTTCTGAGAACCTCAAAGGCCATTCAACCTTGGAACGTTTGGAACTCTTTCCTGGGACACAAGTTTTAACCGCTGTAGGTCATAGGAACAACGTTTTCCTGCATATTTTCTACGCTGCCTCTTGTTACTCCCCACTCGGCATTTGTTTGTGGGACACATGTGGGTCCAAAGTATCCTTACAACGGGAACCATCGTGTTTATCGGGGAGGTGAACGGCAGGTGTAAGCCATATGTTCCGTTAGGCTACATTAGGTTGGATTGGTCTAAATGTAGCAGATCGTCTGAATACCAACATTGGTCTGGACTAAGGGACCTCGATAATGTTATGAAGCTAAATTGCAGGACTGAGTACGACAATACGTGAGAGAAGTTGACAATCTTTTTTTATCAAAGTAGAAGGGCGCCCCCCTGCTGGTCAGCAGTGGTAGTGCCTCCAGAAGTTTGTTTACAGGTGTCTCCAAAAGTAAGACCCAAATGCAAGGGCATTCCTTTCAACCCACGCTCTTCTTTCTACCCACATGGTCCATGTAAACCCATGACATGACCACAAGGAGATGCTGGTGGGGACACCCTCTCTGCCCCCGCCCCCCCTTCTCTCTCCAGTCTCCTGTATCCTCCATAAATCCCAGCTATTCCACTGCTGAGGTCATTTCCTACAATTGCATTACTTCCGAACTCAGCAGCCAATAAGAGCGGAGCAGGAACGGCGCTGGTTTCTGGAGCGTTGACACAGGAAGGTACAGGCAGCCTAATTAACACGCTCCCACCGCAGGGAACACACACATTCTCCAACTATGAAAACAAACACGGGTTTGATAAACGAGGGGCCGGGGGGAGGGCGGGGGCACACGTCCTAAAACACTGCCCCCTGGTGCATATATTCTCCAGGCAGACCCTCCTTCTTTAGGGTGCTACCAACCGTGGGGTCGGGGTTAGGGTTACCAACCGTGGGGTCAGGGTTAGGGTTACCAACCGTGGGGTCGGGGTTAGGGTTACCAACCGTGGGGTCGGGGTTAGGGTTACCAACCGTGGGGTCAGGGTGTTGTTCTATTGGTTATTGTTGGCTTTGGTTTTTTAAGAAAAAAAGTCTTTTAACAAAAACCGTGAAATCTTCTTTAGTTGAAAACTTGGTGTGTTTTTGAAGTGAATCATAAAGGAACAGAGCGCGGTCTAATCATCAGTGACCGGCCACACAAACGACTTCACGTATATAACGATGAATTCATGGGCCACAAACTACACTTGGGTCATATCGTGTGTTCTACAACAAATGTGAAAATGTTGGAGAAAACTGTGGGCCAATCAAACCAACCAAAGGTCAAACAAATGGGCCATTCCACACTCTGGACACCACATGTGGGCTACAAAAAGGGCCAACATTTACTGCTGCTTTAAAAACACCTTGAATGACCATGTGACCCAGACCAGAGGTCAGTGTGATCCAACCTTTGACCTCGTCTTCCCGGCCAACGGTCTTCAGTGAAACTGGCCACTGCTGCTGTGGGTCAGTCGTCACGTCCTGATTGGCCAGCTCAGACCTGCTGTGGTCTCATGCTCTTGTGTAGATAAAGAATGTAAATAAACTCTATATTCTATTCAACATCTTATTTTGAATTATCTATATAGAAATCTAGAAAAGACACAGATTATTTTGGACGCTGGACGTAGTTCAGTGGACGCACGATGCCATAGATGACCAGTGCACAGACCACCACACCACCCTGTCCACAGACCACCACCCTGTCCTCTGACCCCCACCCTGTCCTCAGACCACCCCCCCGGCCTCCTGACCGCACCACCGCCCTCCTGTCCTCTGACCACCACCCTGTCCTCTGACCACCCTCCCTGTCCTCTGACCACCACCCTGTCCCCAGACCACACATAGGAACTATCCGATCACCCTCTGAAACCAGTGGAGAATCTGTTTTTTTTGGGCTCCTCTTACGGACCACGTCTCGTTGTCACGTACAGTACTGAACAAACGTCTCAGTCCAGTGGAGACATTTAAGACGTCCCCCTGTTTTTGCAGATATTTGAGGATGTAAAGAACCAGTTTGTCCAACTGTCCAGGGCGGTTCAGGACAGAAGTTCATAGGAGTCAAAGCTCAGATGTGTTTTTAATGACCGTCTCTGGACGCTGTCATGGTTGGATCGCCTCCATGTGGCCAGAAAACCAAGGCCTCCACCCAGACTGACCAGTTCCTGCAGTGGTCGTGCCTTCACTGACGTAGAGGCTGGTTCTTTCTATGAGCTGAAACGGTCTGCGAGTATAGAGGGGGGGGGGGTTAGCACGTGATTCATAGACGGACGTACCTGCCTAAGACTTTTGCACCGTACTGTACGTTGAACCTTATTGGTAATAATTCAGACGTGTAGAGAATAGATATAAAAAATAACATTTAGCTGGTTTCTAATCACAAGTGAAAAAAAAAAAACAAAGTTAAAGTTAAAGATGTGTTCTACTTATTTTCTCATATTTTTTCGGAGAACAAAAAGCTCGGTTCCTAACAGTGACGTCACCGATGTCCACCTGTTGATGGACGAGACAACACACGCGTTTTAATGCACGTCTATGCAGAGACTGGATGAATGGTTTAAGACAAAGACACTGGTGATGAGTAACGACGGTCGAAGCACTTATTTCATGTTTGTACTTTCAAAATAAGAGCAGCAGCAGGTAGTGAAACAGTGAAGAAGAAGAAGAAGAAGACGAAGAAGAAGAGGAAGAAGAAGAAGAAGAAGAAGAAGGAGGAGGAGGTTGAGCTAAAGTTTGTGGAACTGAAAGAATCTCAACCGTCGGTCTGTGTGGGGGCGTGGTCTAATCCTAGATCGTGGTTAGGAATTAGGAAAGGACTCCAAACCAAAAGCATGAGGAAAGTCATGTTGTTATTATTATAATATCTGAGTAAACAGGATGTTACCGGCAACGCGCCCCCTAGTGGAAAGTAATCTCCAAAAAAACAAAAACTTTCAGTATCGTGATTACAATCGTGCGATAACGAGTGACTTATGAAGCGAGTGCAAATTGCCATAATTTTCTGCTAATTTACATTTACTTGAGTATCTGTTTCGCTGCCCCCTGGTGGTTGACTTTACCGAACGGATGGCTCTTTACTGTTTTATTACACGGTCTGTGATTCCGCACGCAAAGAGCTGCAGGAGAAGTACAACAGGCTAGTTGAGTTTACTAGTCTTACTGCCATGCCTGCAGTACTCCACCAACCCTGTAGGGGTCTCTTTCTCCCTGTCTGCCTGGCCTCACATGGTTGTATGGACTGTTAAAACAAAAGCAGAACCATTTTTACTGCTCTCTCTCCCTCTCTCTCTCTCTCTTTTCTTTGATCTCTCTCTCTCTTTCACCTCTGTATTTTCCTGGGTCAATAAAGCTACAGTTCCTCCACTGCTCCCCCTGCTGTCTCCTGCTTGTTATTCCTCTCCATCTGTCTCTAACACAGCATTCAGTGGCTGCTGACAAAGAATCACAGGCTGTCCTTCTACTGCATCTCTAACTAACACACACACACACACACACGTCTATGTTCAGTTGTTCAAAGGCAGAAAGAGATCAATACAAATAGCTTTCAATCAGCAAATCAAAACAAAGCTAAAGCTATTACATCTATAGCTCATCAATAGCTTTAGCTGAAAGGTTCAAGTTGAATCTGAACTAAATGATAAATGAAGCTGCTGTTC